CAAACCCACCAACATCAAACACATCAACAGTAGATTTTCTTTCCAAAAGTCACTAAATCCAAAGTTGATGAATCTCCCACAGGTATTACTTTTAGATTTTTTTGTAACATTTTAGATTGTTTGATAAGTTTCTACTGTCTGTCTGTTTTGCCTTTTCTTGTTTTCTTGACACTTGATTTAAAGAGACAAGGAAGCCTAACAGGGACTCATACACAGTATAAAGAATAATAATTTGGTCAGTAGCATCTAACGAGATTCTAATGAGAACAGATTTCCACATTGATAAGAGACATAAAACGTATGTGTATTATAGTTCAGCACCTTGCAAGGCCTCTGCTGCTTGTACCTGATAGTGTCGTATATCATTACACAAAAGGAAAACAAAGGAAAATGTAATGGATTTAAACCAATGAATACATGCATAACATGTCAACCTGCTGTAGTCGGTCAAATGGAGGTAAAACTTGATTTCTCATAATTGCCACTACAAATAGGGTCTCTCTTGTCAGGTATTCATTTGGTTAATATTCAGCCTGTTCTCATGTCAGGGCGTCATATATGGACACTTGGTCAACACTCTTCACATCGCTTTTTAACGCGCTGGGTATCCTTTAGAGCTTTTTTTTGCACGTGTAGGGGCGACACAGACTTTTTTGGTAGTGTTTGTATAATAATGAGACTAGTGCAGTATGAGTTGTTACAATAAGGTACACCTTAGCTAGATAAGGTAAGGTAATGTAATATAATATGCCAAAGTAAATACCACATGCCATTGCTTCAGTGATTATTCATCCTGTTCTGTTTTTGCATCCAACGACTGCTTGAAATATAGTATTATATAGTATTGGCTAAAGAGTTGGGTTCTGGTTTGTTTTTCCTCGTCCTGGTGATCGGGGCATCTGGGTGATGTAGTTTAATGTGCATTAGCATGTTGGATGTTTCCATTCACATAACGTTACCCTACAACAACGCCAACACACAGACAGTCCTCATCTCATACACAACTTTCTCTGCTGCTGTTGTAACGTTAACTGATCAGGAACCTGCAGACAGGTCTTCCAGCTCCACTGTTTCATTACCGCTCGCCATGCTGTGACTGACTCGCACGCCAATCTGCTTGTTGTGCTAACCTCAGCGCCACTGCCCTCAGCCTCGTCCACCAACTTGTCCGCATTTCTGGCCTTCTGAACTTCAGACACTTGCACATTCTGAGTCAACGAGCTAACAAGCTTGTTAGTAGCACATCAGAGACGTTTTCTTTTCTTTCCTAACAACTGACTGATTCGTGCACAGTCCACAGTGTAAAGCTAAACACTGACGTAAACAGTAACGTTATCTGTACTGTCGTATCACATCCGAGTCACATCTAGTAAATTCTAAAGTCAAACACACATAAGATATTTATTTATGATGTTACGGCATTTATGTAATCCTATGAAATGACAAGAAAAGATTTAACACCTTTGTAAATGTAATACTTTGCAAATTAAATTTAATACTTTTTAGAATATCAAATTTAAAACTTTTAAAATACTTTTAAGAGCGGGTACCCAAACAAAATGCACTAATCTCCTATTTTGATAGAAGTGATGAACCATCTGCAGTAATGTAAAAGATTAAATTGTGCACGATTTTATTATTTTTATTTTCAGTCATGTTACCTGACTGTAAGTGAGTCTACTGAGGCTGCAGCAGTGGATGAAGCTCTCTGCTGTGATTCTCTCTGACCATCCATCGTGTCTTAGTGCTGTTAGTCAGTGGGAGATGACACCGCCGCAGACTAACTGGTCAGGGAAGAGGCAGCCTGCTGGGCTATGAGTCATGTCAATCTGGACTGCAGCGAGACTCCATCACTGTGAGGCAGTACAGAATGAGGATCCAGACTGCAGGATAACAAAATATCCCGTCACGCAGAGAAAGACACAGCCGGTATGCCAGGCATGTCTGGCTGAATCACACACCGTCCCCGCGCACGCAGATACACACTCATGCTTGGCTTCGAGCAGCAATGACTGGACTGAAGCTGCTGGCCGACGTTATTTTCATCTCATGTTCAGTTTGGCCATTTTCAAATAAATTCTACAAAATGACAACACTGATCCCTCAGAAATATTCCTGACAGAAACACCTCTGAAGCAGCATTTAGTCTCCGTGACTCTGAATCTAATAATTACTCCCTCAAGAAAACGTACATTATATTTATCTCATCAACAGCTTCTCACTAGACCTTGTTTGTAACGTTTCCAAAGTTCATTAGCTTGAATAAATAATTTGTATTGTTGCTCTAGGTACAGGCAGTCAAATACAGGCTGATTAATCTGTTAACTGGAAATATGTATGAGGGTCCTAGTACACACTTTTCAATGGCACCTGTCAGCCAATCAGATATAAATGTTCTGCACTCGGCCTCTGTGCTGGAGCTACTTTTGACTGCTTGGAGATTTATGATGCAACTGCAAAAGCCAAATAAATTGGACCCGACTTTGACACAAAAACAGACAGTGTGCCAGACAGCCGTGCCGACCGAACCCCAGCATGGAGACAATGAAAGGGCAGGTGGTGATTCGCCCGTCCCAGGTTGTCAACATAATAATGAGGCATTGTGAAACTCGTTGGGCTGGCTGCCGCTGCTTTCCTCTGCCTTCTGTCTTCCTCTGAGGGTAGCGTGATGAGTTATTTTTCTGCAGCTTGGCACAGCATGACACATTCAGCTCCCCAGATGGTCTTCACCGTGATTCAGTTAGTCGCCTTGTCTGTTGCTGGGCAGCATGTGTGGGCCAATGAAACATCACACACACTTCAGAGCTTAGTTTCACGTGGCGAAAACCAGCAGCCACCAACACAGGACATGAAATTTTTTTTCCCCCTAAGGATTCTCGCGAATTAGTTTTCAGGCCCGTAATGTCTGCCATTGTGTACTGTGGCGCCGGAGACATGGGGGCGGGGGCATGGGGCTAATGATCAACCGAAAATGTTCCTCCTATTACCGTCATTATGATTTTAAATTGAATTTATTATTCAATTGTAAATGAAAATGAAGTTTAAAATCTGCAAAAGTCAACAGACCTACTAAGTTGAAAATTCACATTGGACACGAAATAAAAACAAATAAGAAGCTGCTGAATGAGAGGTTGCAGTGAAGAAAAGGTTTGTCTAAACTAATATCTAAACTCTGCACATGGGCCTTGTTGAACAGAGAAGACTAGAAGAACATTTAAGAGAAATTAAGTCAATATGAGAAAAGCTTTTATTTGATTTAACTATTTGTGATGAGGAAACTTTCAAAGCCTGGGAGTAAGCTTGCATGTCCAATCAATTTGTTACATCTAGTTAGTAATTCAATCCATATTAAAACAATGGAAGAAATCCTTGACACATCAAAAACATGAGTGTGACAACAACACCAAATAGCTGGGAGCATCGGCGGAAATCACGGGGGGGGGGACATCTCCCCCTATCTGAGAGGTGCCCCCCCCCCCTTAAAAACCATCAAATAATATAATGATATATACTTAAAATAATTGTGTAGTATAGCAGTAATAGTAAAACAATACAAACGCAAACAGGGCAATTAAAGTGTGTTTTAAGTTTAGAAACATTTTGAGTCCCCCCTCCTTTGGTGGTCTGTGGTTTGGTCCACAGCCTGCTTTCCCTCTCACAGGAGTCCGGTAGGAGAAAACCAGTTCAAATCCGTTAGTAGTTGAGAAGCTCCAGTAATGTTAAGCAGGCTGGCAGGGATGTTTTATGCACTGGATAAACTGATTCTTTTGTCTTTAATACAGATAATGCTGAGTCATTAATAAATTAATGATGACAAAAAGTTAAGATAAACCGATTCTTTTGTTATTATTATTTACCACATTATTATTATTGTTATTATAAAATTACCTAGCTTATTTGGTAGCTTATTTAACAGCTTATTGGACTGTAACTCTTCTTCTACAGCTAGAGATGCGCAGATTGATCAGCTGGGGACTGAAATAGGCTGTTTATTTTTGCTTACTCGGTTCTGATCAGTGACCCGAGCCAAGCAGTGTCAAATATCCAATTTTCTGTCGGTCACATTGAACGTAACAAACAGGCTACGCTGCCCCCGTGTTTCACGTGTGTGCACAGACAGTAACCTCGTGTCACAGCCACACACACACAGGCTAAAACATGTCTTAGATGTGTGGAAGTTATCCACGAGCGTGAAGAAGACGCAACGCTCACTGGATCTGCAGAGAAACACACAGAAAGAGACGCTGTGGATAGTGTAAAGCAACAGTGAACACAGCTGTTGGTGACGATGTCATTCATACCACTATGGTCTCTATTGTTAATTAACAACAAACCTCCTCCACACGCCCCTCATCTGCTGCTGTGAAAACGGAATTGCGGGTGGAAAACCAAACGCCAGTTATTTTAATAAAACTGCTGACAAATAAAGTCAGAGACAGATAGGTGTGTGCTTGTGTGTCTGATGGGGAAAATCAAGGTGAGCAGATTACTATAGTTTGTGATTAAACATAAAAATAAATTGGAGAATTAAGTAGAATTAAAATGGTGTACAATTTGTTTTCAGCTCCTTCCAGTTAAAATGCTAATATTATTTTATAATCAATGTTTCATTATGACCATACAATTGAGACCAGTGAGAATAGCTAATATTTATACTGGTGCTTAAGGGGATCCTAATAAAAATAGATTTTTCCAATAAATAGTTACAAAAATGTTTTTGTATGCTGTCAGTTATAGTTCTTAGAAAGAAATAAAATCGGAATCGGCCCAAATTAGAATCGATGGGTCAGTGTTGTGGTGGCAGCCTGGCTGACGGTGAGTGTCCTGGTTTTTTCTCCTTTTTTGTCTGTAATTCTGTTTTTTCCCTGGTTTTCTCTGCCTCCCTGTGTCTCCTCCCCTGTGTGTGCTCTCTCTCTCTCTCCCTCCGCTCATGAGCCCAGCCAACGACCCGCACCTGCATCTCGTCAACCTCCTTCTCTGCCTGCCACACCTGCCAGCAATCAACTTCACTTCTGCCAGTACTTCAACCCCGGTTCTCCACACTACCTTTGTTTGATCATCGTTGCTCATAACCCGGTGCCACTTCACCATTCAAGCTCACACGTATTCAGCATCTTTTTGATTTCCCTGTGCTTTGTCTCTGCTGTGTCTGACCCCGTTTCTCTGTCTCTCTCCCCAGGTTCACTCACCCTCACCCTCAGCCAAGTCAGCTGGGCTCGTTCACCTGCCCTCTCCCCTCGGACTTCCCCCAAGGCGTCCTCCCAGTTCTCCCCTGCCTAGTCTCGTCCTCTGCCCCTAGTGTTCCCCGGTCTCAGTCTCCTTGGTTCCCTGTGCCTGCGTTTCCCTGGAATCCACCTCTCCCTCAACCCCATTTTTCCCCAAATAAAACCTGTTAATCCCCAGAGTTGCGTTTGGGTCCACTCTAGCCCCACACTTCACAACAGGTCAGACCTTAGTAAGTATAATCAGCCAGGAAAAATGTAATCTGTGAATCTCTTACTACAGTGATAATCCTGTGTTAACCGATATTAGACTAATACCGTAGTTTTGTTGGGTTTTGTGCATTATGATAAGTAGCAGATCAGTTGGCCTGCTGCTGTTAAATATCTAATATGTGTATGTAAGAGACATCCCCTATCCCAGAAGAAACCTAAATTACTATGTAGCCTAGAGGATGCAAGTTATTTAGGATATGACCGTGTGGTGAATCGATGAACTTAAGTCCTATTTAAACAACTATTGCTTTGTGGTGTTATAATAGTAGTAATAAAAATAGTTGTAAGACTTCTGTCTGTGTACATGTATCCTGTACAAGTACAATTTTGGCTGTATTATTTGTGTCCCCTTCAAAAATTGCTCTTGAGAAATGTTATGTTTATTGGCTCCCCACCCCTACTGTGAGATGAAATTTACGCCCATGGCGGGGAGACATTTTGAATAAATCTATATCAAGCAGGTGTGATGTGATAAAAACACGACCAACTCAAACTGAAAGGGGTTCATTTCCATTAAAGTCTATATAAGTCATGTTTTATCAAAGATGCTAGGATTTCTTCACTAAGTGGTGTGCAGTGCAGAACTGCAGTGCTGCCAACGGTGGCTGGAATCAATATTATAGCAGACTTCTACATTGACAGATAGATCCTCTCCTGACCAGAGGGGAGTCATTATATATTTTTATTGCAGTGGGCAGGAAAAAAAACTTCCTATAGCAGACGTGTTTCTTTACAACTTTCATAGTAGTGCAGTCTTGCCTCTGTATAGTCTATAATATTGTTTAAGGTTGCAATGCTTCCATTTGGTAATATGTAAAAGCTCTGTAGGAAGTAGAACCTCAAGCTAGTCTCTAGAGGACCACTGATATGCTGATGACACCCAACTATTCTTCGTTAGTAACACAGTAACTCCAGTACATTGGGAGGATCTACACCTTCCTCATTAGAAAGGCAGATCAGGTACTCGTATTTCTTTTCTGGACTACTACTACTCCCTCCTTGCCGGAGCCCCTGTGTCTGCCATCAGAAGACTACCGCCTAACTACTGTTGAACCTCCCAAATTTCTGTCATACTACACTGGCTCTCTGGCAGTTTACGTTTAGTTCGAGACTCTGAGGCTGGTCTACAGGGTGGTGAAAAGAACTGCTCCTTCCTAACTACAGAAAAAAAATAAACTTAAATACTTGTACTGTAGCTCTCTGGACATGCTTTTATGGTTTAATGCTGATGATGTGACACCTACAAATGTGTTGTCACAATTGTTAAGATATTTTGTGTAATAGCCTGTAAAAAAGGGGCATAATGTGAATGTATTTTGCACGGGGTTTGGGTAGTATTTTTGAGGGTGTAATTGCTTAACAACGCCACAAGAGGGAATATCCACTTATGTGAGCGCTAGTAGGGCTGCGTGGTGCTTCTGCTCCTCAGACAGAACAGCCTGCTGAACGATCACAAGTGACATCTCCTGTCTCTGCTTTCCCTGTACAAAACAGGTTAGTAATGTGTGATATTTTGCTGCAATACATTTCTATGGACTTTTAAAGCCTTTGTTATGTTGTTCTGACAAAGTTTGACGTGTAAAACAGTGGTTTATTCAGTTAAGAGACTTTGAATTAAAAGTGTAGCTAGCACCCGTGTAGAAAGTGTAACCAACATGGCAGCCTTCCGACGTTTGTTTTGTTTTTGGTTATTGCTCTTGGACATTGTACTTTTCTTTGTATTTGCTAAAGCTAAAGGTTGAGCTACGATTATTATGATGTTTGTTGAGTTGATGATGTGTCAAGTCATGCATTCAAGTCCTGTCACCGTGATAATACTGAACAGTGTAACATGTTGATAAGGTTACAAAAAACGTGTATCTTGTATAATGTAGGCCTCTTTATTGTTTTTATATGTTGTATGTGAGAATGTTGTGTGAAACAAGTAGGCTTAACAGTATCAAAGCTACTGGATGTATACGATTTTGGAGCTAGTAAACAGCAGTAAGTGTGAGTTACAGTACCAGTTGAGGCTGGGAGAGGTGAATTATTTCTGTTGAACTGATAAATAATTTGTAAAATATGTTATTCCAGCGGTTTAATGCATTAACATCCATGCTGTAGTGGGAACCTAAAAGTGTAATTTGTTAAAAGGAATGTGGTCAACATGGTTTAAGTGAAGGAGGAAAAAAAGCGATAAATTCTGTTTAATAAAGACAGAGAACAGCCTGCTGAGCGATCACAAGTGACATCTCCTGTCTCTGCTTTCCCTGTACAAAACAGGACACAATATCTGTTCACAGGTAACTCTTGCTTGAGGCCTGTAACAATGACATGTAGCTCATTTCTTTTGAATGTTGTTTGTAATGCTGTGGACAAAAGCGTCAGTAATGTAATTTCATAAAATGTTAAGTACTACCATTACCGATTTGGTATATACAAAACACTGCAGACCATATCTGTAGGAAATGTACCTACAGAAACTAACAGAAAAACGTTACAATACTGTCTACGTTGTTTGTATTCAAGTGATGTCTAGAAGGAGCAGTGAGGAAACATTACAGGACAAAGAGAGAGGTTAAATAAAGGCCAAAATAATCACGTTACATAAAATGGTCTAAATCACTGGATTTTTACGATAATGATCCTCTCTTAATTTTTTCACTAAAAACCTGAATTGAGTCTCTAAACATTAGTTCAGCAGATCATCTCAGACCTTCACAGGCTGCCACTGCTGCGTGTTTTTGTGATTACCACATGTGCTGTCACCAAGGAGAAGCTTCAAACTGCAGCTGGCCTGGATAATATCCCACCTGGTCGTGTTAACCTGACTCTGTACATCTCACATTATTCTTCATGGAATTGTTTCAATTAGCGCTCCAGGCTTGTGACTCACATGAAAATAAGGCAACAAGTGGAAAAAAACCCACTTTTTTTATTTAACAAAAAAAAGTAAATTTAGCTCCAATCAAAACACATACCAAATGTTCCCAGGTAGGGATGGTATTGCTACTCAATACTTTTATGGTATCGACTGAAACAGCCCAGTACGATGTAGAATAGAAATGTCTCCAGTTAAACCAATACTTCATTCAATACTTTTTGTAGCCAGATCACGGCAAAAAACGACTATTTGTATGATGACGGAAAGGAAGAGAAGAACATGCCTTTTATTTCTCCTTATGTGTCTGCACCATAAACTGTATAAAAAAGGCCTGTACGCACCGAGTCCATGCCTGATGTTAGCAACCACTCACCTTTGGCTGCGGTCTCAGGCATGTTCGTCACTGTTGCAAGCTTCACCACAAGCTTGGCTTTCCATTGGTTTCATTTTCTGGTATCATTTAACACTTCTCTGTAATTTTTATTTGCCATTAACATCACTTGTCACTGATTGATCGCTGCGTTCCATCACATCAACTTAACGTTTTTTTTTTTACTCACTGAGCCTCCGTCTGCGGCTGCGGCTGCTTCAGGTGAAGTTGTTTTGATCGGCTGGACGTGTGGATTCTCTTTTCCTCTGTTTGTGAGTCTTTGATGTAGTTAAGTGACTTGTTTTAACAGACTCCTTACTTGTTTTTACTTGTGACTGTTGTTTTTGGAGGAGATTTGCAACTAACCACTAAAGGAAAAAGCACTCGCGGAGATCTTTCATTTCAGTTTATTGATCGAAAGTTAAGAAAATAATTTTCCGTTGTTTACTTTCAACACGTATAAAAAAATTACCTTAAATTCGTTTCCCACAACTTATTTGGTCACTGAACTATTTCACTCCTCCTCTCTAATTCAGATCAAACATTTGCAAGCTGTAGTCTTTCTCCGTATAATACTACCCATGAGGATGACATAATTAGGATGAGGAGGATCTGATACAATTTCCCAATACTTTTATGTAACAGTTATTTGAAACAAGAAAAAAATAAAATAGATCACCTTGCTTGTCCATAATAACAATAAAAAAAATAATAGGCTGCCAATCAACTACTATGACTTCAACAGGTGGCATTTTATGCAAGGAATCGAATGAAGTATCGGTATCACTTTAAGGGTACTGCTTTTGGTACTGGTATTGTAAAAATTTACACGATACCCAACCCTATTCCCAAGTGACCGTGCAAGCCAGACTGAACCGTTCTTGTATGAAGAGTAAAAGAACTCTCTCAGAAGCTAAGGACATGTTGCTGGTGCTCTTGTAAACTGTGCTGCCATGTTGGAAGGGCAATAAATCATTCAGTCATCCTTTGAATTGGCCTAACACTTACATTCCCAGGTGCAGTTTGGTTACAGGCCAGATTTTTACTTGCCAAGGACACGTTATGTGGTTCCACAGGTTGACACAGCTGGCTTCAAAAAACGCATCATTCTGAAAACAGATGATACAGTCTGGATTATTTTAAAAAGTACTTTAGAAGTTTACAGCGTTATATGTTTTTTTCTTTGTAGGCTGTTATGATTCCCTTTGCTCTGCCGTCCTCTGTGTGTGTGTGTGTTTGTGTGTGGGTTTCCACTGAATGAAGCTTCACCTTGACGCGCTAACTATTCCCCTCATCTGTATCCACATCAATAAATCCACAGGACCACTAGTAAAAAAATTTATTCAACCACAGTCCTCTGTTCCTAAAATATTACCAATGTAATATAAATACACTCTAAATTATCCACACACATTTTAAGTGCAAGAAATCAAACAAACTGCATTACTATAAATATGAACTGTAAATACATCAATCAAATACAGTAAATTTTCCTTCCAGTTCCTTCTACATCAAATGTAATTTACTGTTTTACATATGAACTTAAACTGCATGCTCCTCAGTCAAAGATTTCTATTTATCAATAAGCTACTACACTGTGTGTGCGTGTGTGTGTGGGTGGGTGTGTGCGCATGTGCGCGTGGTGGAAGAGCTGAGCCCCGCCCTTGGTCAAACAC